TGACTGGATTGTTGTGACCAGCGTATATATTTATGTATATCAAGTATGCAATATAATTGCGGTATTAAAAATGCTCTTTTTATAGTGAAATTATACTTACTTTGAAAGTATGCGCTCCTCAAATGCACTGCATGATGAGCCACCAACATTTAATAACTTCTATTTCTAAATTCAAATGATAAAACTAGTGCAACTGATATGGGACAATTTAGTGTAAGTTATATTGGGCATAGGAGCAATTCATTAGCAATTCAAAAATTTTGTTTAAATTATGTTTATTTGTAAAGTGAGCATTATGTATATAATTACAGATCAAAATTTTTTATGTAAATTACCCTTATAAAAAAAACTAAACATTTAACCATAATAAAAAATATACTACTTTTTGCAACATTAGTATCGAGAAATGATTGATCACAATGATCAAAACTATTCTCAACTTTAAATGTTTTTTATATTTCATTATTCTTAAGATAAGTAAGTAAATGAATTAAAGACTATATATTAGTTAATTAAAAAACAATATGCAATTATAATTTATATATATATAAAATATAATAGAAAAAATATATATTACATCTTCGCTTCCAACAATGCTGCGAACAACAACTATAAAACTTTGGAAATTATTGAAAGGGAATAGATTAAGTTCGTACAGCAAGATAACGATTGACAGAAGACTTAAAAGATTTCAAACTATATGAATCAGGGAAGCAAGATGAAGTAAGCAAATTCCAAAAAACTGATGTTCGAAGAAAAAAACTAGCTTTAGAGCAGTGCCCATTATAGTATTTGTAGAAAAGATTAAAAGAAGCAACATCACGACGATGTGACAATGGTTGGAGATTGGCTGCAAGAGCAGGTCCAACTATGTTTACAATGCGTTTTTGCACCTTGTCTAAAAGAGAAAGAGCATCAATAAAAGATCTGCCTAGATATGGCAACAGTATTTCATACAGGGACGAATTTGAGATTTATAAAGATAGAGAATATAATCTAGAGTATGGAAGTGTCGAGCTCGATTAAGAGATGCAACCTTAGCAGATGCTAATTTTGCAATGGATTTGATATACGGTTTAAAAGAAAGATCAGAAGTAAAAGTTAATCCTAGAAGATGAAGGTTAGATGACTCATCTAGTACATTACCATTCATAAATATAGGAAGATCTAAAATATTGCGATAACGACTGGCCAAAAAATATTGAGTTTTATTTGAAATAATGTTCACTAGCCATTGTGAGCTCCATTCTGTAGCAGAGGTGAGATCCTTTTCAAGCTCAGATACCCCCTCCAAGCAATCAGAGAGTGTAGGCTTCTTATCATGACAAGAATAAATAGTAGTGTCGCCAGCGAACAAAACTAACTCAAAATTTTGCTAACTAGATCTTTTGAAAGGAGATTCTTAAATGTTCTTTTTTTCTTGCTGAATTGACTAGGTACCTATTTTAAGTATTGAGAAGTATTTAAAAAATTAATTTATAAAGACAAAAGGCCTAGATAGTTAAAATAACTTCCAAGATAGTTATTACAAGAAAAAATATTTCTTACATTAATCTTTGTAAATTTTTAAGGTTTATCATTGACTTCATATATTTTCTTTAACTTTGTTTTAAGAAAAGCAAAATTTTAAATCACAAATTTTGGAGGAGCTGAATGAATTTGTTGAATGAAATGAATGAAAGAAGTTGTTACTAATAAAAATTCATTAGGCATATTACATAAAATAAATTATATTACATTAACCATTACATAAAATGAAATATAGCCAAAACCGTTGTTCTATTTTTTTAAAGCCGAAGGCAAAAATAAAAATAAACTAAAGAGTTAAATACATTAAATCAAATAAAATTTCTTTAATTTAAAACAAAATTAGATACAAAAACTACAAACACATCAATTCTAGATTCCTAAATGCATATTTAAATAAATGCAATATGAGTTTTTGAAATACAAAACAAAAATGCAACATAGTAATATCAAATACAAACATGTATTTGACAAAAACATATATATATCAACTGACACTTGATGTAGTTGACGCTCCTAAAAATAAAATCTTAATTAACTAATAAATAAAATTTATGGAAAAGTAAAAAATATTCTTACAAGTGTTATTCTTATAGCATTTTTTATTTTTTATTTTTTTAATTTTTCTGTTTAACTTTAAATTGTATTTAATTGATGTTTCACACTATCTATTTCTAAATTTTAACTAATACTACAAACTCTACTAATTTTAACTTATAATAACTAATAGTTCTAAATTAGTTATTATTAGTTAAAAGTAAGGATTTTAAGGAGACATTTTTCTATTGTTTAAAAAGATTTGGTCACAAAAGCCAATTTTTTGAAAGAAAAAATAGCAAAATTAAGGAGAAAATAACTACATTGAAAACAGAATCTTATTTTTTTCAATAAATTTAAAATAAAAACAGAAAAATTATTATAAATTAACATATTACTTTATATATATATATATATATATATATATATATATATATATATATATATATATATATATATATATATATATATATATATATATATATATATATATATATATATATACAATAGAAATATAGGTTTCCAATCAATCAAAAGACTATATAATTTCTTTAATAATAAGTATAATCCATTTACTTTAATAAAATTTCCTAGATGATAAAAAAAAAAAAAAAAATTAAAGAGTGTTTCTCATCGGTTACTTAGTAAATTGCCAATAACATTCCAACACGTGATATAGTGGTTATTCATATGTTAATACAGTTATATAAGAGACAGGTGGGTAGAAAATTTCCTTTAGGGTAAAGGAAATTCTCTACCCTTTTGTCTCTTATATAACTTTTACGACTGGTTTATTTTTTTCAATAAGACTTATTTTTAAGTCAAAACTTTAGAACTTCACTAATAACTAATTACTAAAGTTAAGTAATTGGTTATTAACGAAGTTCCAAAACTTGATATCGTAATATTTCAAAAAGTTCATTAACTAATGTACTAGTCCAATTATTTCGAATAGAACAATCTAAAAGTTGTTAATTAAAGATATTGAATTATATTGAATTATCAGCATAAACTCTCTGTATTATTGATAGGTTTTCCTTTTGAAAAATATGACTATGCATGAGATTCTGCGATGTGTAAGTGTTTCAAACAGACAGAACTAGGTTCTTGATATAGTATATCAATTATAATAATTGAATTATTATACTTGAAATACTATATCAAGTGTCAAGTATATACTTAATATATATATATATATATATATATATATATATATATATATATATATATATATATATATATATATATATATATATATATATATATATATATATATATATATATATATATATATATATATATATATATATATATATATATATATATATATATATATATATATATATATATAGTATATCATATATCCAGTTTTTAACTATTTATTTCAATATCTGTATCAATTTCAATATATGTATCAATATTAATACGATTCTCAAGTAATTAAATGTTTATAAATAAATATATAAATTATCAAGAACCTGGCTATAAGTTGCTTTTCATAAGGTGTTTTTAAAATTCTCCTTAAATCTTTGGGAAGTTTCAACCTTGATTTGGCAATATTTCAAGAAGATCATTAACTAATGTATTGGTTCCATTATAAAATGGCACAATGTTGTCGAGTAAAGACATTGAATTCAAAGAATTATCAGGATAATTGTTCTATGTATCATTAACAAGTTTTCCTATTGAAAAATTCGATTCTGCATGAGATGTCTAAATCTTTGAAATTGTTGGAACTTGGTTCTTGATATAGCAATACTATACTAACAGTAGATCAAGTATATATATACATAGTATAGCATATATTCAGTTTTAAACCGTTTTTTTTTTTTATTATCTGTAAAAATTTCATTACCTTTATCAATATTACCACAATTTTTAAGTAATTGATAACAAAAACAAAAATTAGATGGAACGCGTCTATTAGTTGTTGTAAAAAAACTTCTTTTGTAACTAAAAAAAAACTTTATTAAAAATTTTAACTTCAAAATTTTAAGAAGTTTTAGCGCTTGCGTGATTTAACTGATTTGTTTTTTATTTAATGAAGCATTCTGGATACTTTTTGGACGAAAATTTTATTGGACCCGAAAACGTCCTAATGACGTCTTTTTTACGTCCTGTGCCCACTGGGTACGCAGTCAGAGCCAATCAAATTGTTTGGATCTAATTTGAGTAAGTGTGATTCTACTAGAGATTAGTCTACATTAAAAAAACTGATAGTGTTTGATGTTCTATTTGGGAAATGCGGTAGTGTGTGTACATTTCCGGTTGTGAAAACAGATTGAAATTGTAAATTTAGTACATTTGATATATGCACTTTTCTTATGCTAATATCTGATTCAGCGATCAATGTATTATTAGGGCTTGATAATCAACGTTTAGAATTAATGTAGTTAAAAAGCTTTTTTGGATTGCAATTATTGTTTGCTAAATCTTCTTCAAAGATTCTAATTGCCGAACTAGTATACTTTTTGATTTCATTACAAATTGTATTAAAAATATAAACTAGATATTGAACTTATGCATATATATATATATATATATATATATATATATATATATATATATATATATATATATATATATATATATATATATATATATATATATATATATATATATATATATATATATATATATATATATATATATATATATATATATATATATATATATATATATATATATATATATATATATATATATATATATGTATATATATATATATATATATATATATATATATATATATATATATATATATATTATAACGACTTGATGTCCTGGTTGAACTTTATTAGAAATCAAAACAACTAAAGATTTAATAACAGTTGAATAAAAAGACGCTATAGTTGTAAATAATGAATATGTTATTAAATAATGCAAGTTTAACAAAACTTTTTTATTTTTCTGTCTATTAGTTTTCAACATTTGAGTTGATGTAAAAAGATGTTTTGTAAATTATAAGGAATTTTGAATATATTGCAAAATCAATTTTTAAGTAAAAAAAAGTAAAGGAACAGTTAATATGGCGTCAGAATTTTTGTATGCAATTGCTTTGGTAACTTGGATTTTTGAAATATTATACTTAGATTTGCTATATTTTTAACGTATTTAGATAAGTTTTATAGATACAAACATATGTAATAAAATTTATATAGTTTATTGTACTTTAGCAGCAGTGACAGATCCAAGAAGGATGGAGGGTGGTATTTATTCTGCCCCAACAGAATCTGAAAATCTTAAAAAATATCTAAGAAAGGTCTTTTTTTTTGGGAGACGCAAATATGGTAAAAAATACAAAAGTATTTCAATATTTCCCCAACAACCCAATATTCCTGGAACTGACACAGTTTATTAGCTTATTTAATATATTTCGACTTTATTGCATTGAGAAATGTGTTTTTTAAAAAAAGATACCATCTAATAATTGTTATGTTAAAACTTGAAATGCCATTTTAAACATTAATATATTTTTTTTATTTAGATTGTAAATACTTTTTGTGTTGTCAAAACTTATCAAGGTTTGTGATTGTAACTGAGAAAATAATGTACAAACTTTAGATTAAAACTTATTATTATTTATACATTCATTAACAACACTTTAGCATTTTATCATTTATTTATCATTGTTACTACTTTTTTTCTTTTTCTTTTTATTTGTTTTAGACAAAGTAATTGCAAAAATTAAATATAATTTTAAAGCTAGGTGCTTTTGAGGTTAAAAAACATTCCAAAAACCATAGTGCCAAAAACGTCAGAAAAAAATTATTTTTTAATATTTTGTTATATATATATATATATATATATATATATATATATATATATATATATATATATATATATATATATATATATCTGTTCTTTGAGTTTAATTACAGATCAACAACTGTTGATAGTTAAGCTACCTGTATCTTAGGGCTAAGAGTCAGAAAAAAATTATTTTTTAATATTTTGTTATATATATATATATATATATATATATATATATATATATATATATATATATATATATATATATATACATATATACATATATATATATATATATATATATATATATATATATATATATATATATATATATATATATATATATATATATATATATATATATATATATATTTTATATATATATATATATATATATATATAAATATATATATATATATATATATATATATATATATATATATATATATATATATATATATATATATATATATATATATATATATATATATACTGTTCTTTGAGTTTAATTACATATCAACAACTATTGATAGTTAAGCTACCTGTATCTTAGGGCTAAAAGTTTTTACAAATACTGGTAAACGTTTTCAATAATACATCTGAAAAATGAAATATTTTGACATCATTATACAATTGTTTTATAGTGAGTGGAATAATGACGTATTTATTGTGTTAAAAGATTTAAACAAGGCTCTCATTAAGAATTTTTTTAATACCTTTCAACACTTTAAAAGTATTTTATATCGCATTGTGACGTGTGGCTGTAAAAAAATGACTCCAAAAATATATTTTGTGAAGGGTCCATATTAGTGGTGCTAAATTATTTGATTTATTTTATGAACTCTCCAATAAATAAAAATTTCAGATAACCTTGTCAAACTAACGCGACGATTAAAAAAAAAAAAAAAATCAGTTTGAACACAAAGATTTAATAACTACTGCCCATCTGTTAGGCATGCATTTTACGGTTATCTTATATTAGAGGAAAAAAACGTTTATAGTGGAAAACTACACTTCAAATGTTTAATATTATTGAGCAGTTATGGACCCCGTTATACTCTTGTTATAATCCGTTATAATCTTGCTTACGCAGTCACTGGCCTCAAAATTAAAATATTTTAACTACTAATGAAATAGCTTTAAGATATTTCGTTTAATAAGCTGTGTCGTTAAAGTGCTTGGTTTCGAATAATATTTTTAAAGCATTAGGAAAATTTGTTCGAACACCAAACTTTTTCTTTAAAGGCTTGTAAGAAGAAAGTCTTTCTTTTCTGTACATTTTTAAACTTGCCTTTGATAGGAAGAAAGTTGTCATTGCCACTTAGTACCACTTAATTTAATCTATTACCATTAACTCCTAATTTGAGCATCTTTTTTTTTTTATTTCGTGCTTTCACGTTTCTGAATGTCAAGAAAATCTTTAAGAACTGATATTACATATTCCTAAAGAGATTCAAGTAATTGTGAATCAAAAGTTAAACTTGTACTTTTATCCTGAGAATTTTTTTATTTATTTTTTTAAGCTATATATAAATAAAGATTTTACACACGCTAAACAGTGTATGATATTAAAAATAGGCAATAGAATATATGTTTCATTTTATTATGATCAAGATATAAGTCATATGATCAAGAAAAAAACTTATAAGTAAACTTTTTTAGTTAAGTTTTTTACTTTTCATCTTGTGTTAAATAAACAATTTAAATTCAATTTTTTTTTTCGAATATAAAACAGTTACATTCTTTTTTTAAAATTTTTAAATAAAGGTTTAAAAGAGTTCTATTTTGAACAATATTTTGAAAAAAAACTTTCCTTAAAAATGGTTCACGATATTGAAATTAAAACTAAGTTGATATTTAAATAAGGTCTTAAAAAAACAAAATTAACATTTGAAAAATTTGTTGCGTGTTTTTGAGTTATTTTGGTAAATTTAGAAGATATTTAAAGACAAACTAGACGATATTAGAAAATAAACTATGCTTTGATTTAAATATAAACATCATACCTTGGTGCATATTTAGCTTATAAGCTTAATTAAATTTGATACCAGTTAGTGTTAAGTCTAACATGATTCTATGCCAATGCTCCGTTATACAAGGAACACCAATGTTCACTGTGGCTTTATTTTGTATCTAACACTTTTTTTTATCTATACCCAAAACAATTGTTTCTCAAAAATGTAAATACAAATTGCATTTAAAGTTTATTAATAATAGCGCTTGTCCGAAAAAAGCTATTACTATTAATTTTCCTGTACTTTCCGGCACCACTTACAAAACCAGAAGATATTATCTGAAATGAAGAAACACAAAAAGTATATAGGCATTGAAGAAAACCAAAGAAACTGGATACAAACTGATAGCTGTCAACAGCATTTAAGACAACCGAATTTAGAAAATGTGCTGCATAATGAGTAAAGTCATTGTTTGGGTTTTTAAATTTTGTTTGAAATTTATTGTATTTTCTAAACATTTCAAATGCATTGTCTAATAACAAACCACAATCATCATTAATTTTCAAGTCAAGTTCGTCTAACTTCTTTTTAAATGCATCAGCCATAGCCTTTCTGTTATGTCCACAAGTAAACACAAACTCGATAAGTCTTTCTTCGATAACATCTTTCTCAATTATTTTTTCAGTTGATAATAAATAACCAAACTATTCTCTTGTAAATAAATTTTAAAAATAAAGAAAAACAGTTTGGAAAACAGTAACTTAGTTTTTATTACTTATTTAAATTTTTTTAATGTTTTTGTCAGCAACATTTTAATCATATTAAATGGAAATCTAACAACAAATGAATAAATAAAGTCTGTATTCCCTCATCTAAATGGTAACACATGTTACCAGTTAGATGAAGGAATACACATGCTTTAGTATAAGATTAAAAAACAGGTGGTTAATTTTTTGATTATTTTGTTGCCTGCTGTCTGCCAACACGTGTTTTTGACTTCTAATTATGACCTTTTTTTGGTGCACGGTTTAATTCAGAAGTCAAAATCCTAGTTTTTTTGTTTTTTTAGAGCTGAATTTGGCAGTCTTGTTTTATACAAGGCTTGTTTTATACAAACCATTAAAATCATTCAAACTCAGTTTTAGAAGTTAAAGAACTAGAAGAATGTTCTGATAGTAGACCTAAAGCGACAACTTTTTTGTTCAACATTCGTGTCTTTTTTTAAATGTATTTTGTTCATTCTATTATTTAGGATTAGTGTTAAGTCAAAAGCTTATCCGTACCACTAAAACGGGAACTGTAGAGATTTTTAACATGTTGGGCAGTTGCCGAAATTGGAAGAGGGCCTTAATTGGAATACTTGCATTTATTTTTGAAAAAAATGAATTATGGCTATATTTTGCATTTTTTCAGTAAAACGCATTATTTTCTACGTTTTGACACATTTTGAAAGTTATTCCACAAAATATACGTTTGCACCATTGATTTAAAGTTTTTTGCTTCATTTTTTTCAGTGATCTACTTTTGTGTTCACACTATATTGATTGTGACTTTTTTTATTATAATTAATAAATACAAGTTCTTTAAAAAGTTTTTGATGAGCTATTTATAATATTTGTTTCCTAATGTAATTAATACTGATCTAAATTCAAGATTTTTAATAAGAAACATAAAACATTTTTTTTTTTTATTACAGTTACATTATGTCAAGAATCTTCTTATAACATAACGTGCCCTGCAAATTTCTCTATAAAAGTTCTCAATGCCACATATGGAAGTTTAAAAAATTATTCAATTTGTGCTTCAAAAAACGCAAGTTACTCTATTACAAATTTGTGCAATGGAGCCAATAGCTGTTTTATTGAATCTAATAATCAAGTATTTGGTGGTGATCCCTGCCCCAATAATTATAAATATACTGTTGTTAACTACATTTGTTATCCTCAAGGTATATATAGTTTATTAAGTTTACACTTTATACAAAAAGTTAGTAAATGTTTTAAAAATATAATATATATTTTCACCTTAATTTCTTTTAAATTTTACTAAATAGTAGAGACTTAATTTAGAAACTATATAAAAAAGAAATTTGTTTTATTTTATATTTATTACAAATAATATCTTGTTAATCTTTTTCATGCAACGAAGTTCATTCAAATTTAGATTATCTTATTATATTTTTTTATCTAAGACTTTTTACTTTTTGAGGCCTATTGAACAATTTAGGTATCTAATTTTTTTTTGCTTCGTTTTGAATGATGATTGTTATACTTTAAACTTGTCATTTCATATTTAAGAGTAATCAATTTACAGCATATAAGATTTATAAATTGCCATACCCCTAACATTTTAACATCTAATATCGTTTCACTAGGATAATTTATATATTAAAAAAGGTGATGCAACTCTTTTTTTTTTTATTACTTTAATGAACTTTTTAGTTGGAATAATTTCAGTTAGTTGTTTTTTTTTGCTTTATTTTAATGCTGTCTCAGTTATTTTTTTAATCTAATTTTTTTTTTGGTGGCACAAAACATAATTATCGCATCAAATGTCGATGTTTAGTTCTCTAATGATATTTGTTAAACTTGCACTCGCTGATGTCCTCCTATTATAACCACCTATAAATACCTATTAATGTCTGAATAAAAGGGGTTTCAAAATATCTTTATAGGTTTCATAATAGGTAAAACATCTATTAGAGAGATAAAAATTTTAATGATATCATCTAAATATTGTTTTTTTTTTCCTTCATACCTGTGCATTTAATTAGTTTTTAAAAACTCATTGTTCTTTCAAAATCTTCTGATATTATACTTTCATTGTTATTTAAACAGGTTTCAAACTTTTTAAAATATCGAGTTTAACATTTAGTTATATAAGAATGTAAAATAAATTGATTAGTGTGAGAAGCTGATTAGTGTTTTTTATATAATTGAGGTAACTGCTTCAGTAATTAAATGGGATTTATGAACAATTTCTTTTTGACTAAATTAAGTTATTTCCACTTCACCAATCTCATTTTCTTTATTCTAAATAAGAAATTAATTCTAAACTAGTGAATTTTTTATCTAACAATGCCTTTAAAGTTTCAACTCTTGGACATTTAGCATATATATCATCAATTTATTTAGTGTTGAATTTCAATAACTTTTTTATCGTGGAGGACCATC